ATCTCCTGAGTTCATCTTAGCTCTCTTACCTCCTTGGCGGAACCGTGATTTATTAACAACTCAAATTTGTGGCTAGTTCTATTACGACCGGATAACAGTTAGAGTTACCACTCTGCCCAGTCATCTACTCGTACCCCTCTTTCTACAATAGTCTTCCGTCATCACATGCATAAAATAATCCGCAGCAAATATAATCTAGGATGATTATAAATCAATGTTAGAGGTCTAAAAAATCAAGAGGGTCAAGTAATTTTCTCTTGTGGCATGAGCCCATGAAACTTCTCAGCCATAGAAAAACTAGCTCAACATTCTTGAAATAAATATGAGAAATTTACGAGTTATTACATTGGGATGTGCCATATGCTGGAACAGTGATTTCATCTTCGTCACCACGTGGTGATGTTTCCAAAGACAAGTCTGCTTTGCGGCGATTTCGTCGTGAAATGGATGCGGCTTTCGGCGAAGAACGCACAGGCTGCATCTCAGATTGCGTCACAACCGCGCCACTCGCCAGCCTTCGATCGTCATCATTCACCTGTGACAATGGAAGCATCCCATTGCATGGCTGCGCAAATCCATGTTCCTGTAACTTAATGACCGGAAGTCCGGGGGAAAAAAAACGTAAAAAAACGCGAAGTACAGCGAATCGTGCCCCTAAATTATCTCCAGCATCCCGAGGTACTGTCGTATCCAGCACAACGCCTGACATCCCCAGTTATAGCTACTATATTTTTGGATCGACTAAAGATAATTTACTAAGTCCCCGATGTGCTACGGTGAAGGCGTTCAAGAAATGGTGCATAAATGGCTGCGCGACTAGTCGACAAATTTTTTATAGAAGGAATCGGTAGGCTCAAGACACAGTGATGCGGAAAAAATGCATATCCGTAAATTTTTAGCATACGAATTCCAGAGCAAGAGATGCTACTCAAATTTGTTACCCACTCGCGTAGAACCGTTTTCAGAGATAAATGAAAAAAAAAAAAAACAAGTGAACCTTCCAGGGAATCCAGAAAACCCTAATTCATCAATTTTTAAATGAGGCAAGGAACTGTCAAGAAAACAAGCAATAAATAGCAATGCACACCAGACTAGCCGGCGCGATCATGCGTTTTGTGCAGTTCGTCCAGCGAACGACTGGCTGTTAATGATTTTTACTGATTTGCACTTCAGTCTGTGCAAAAATAGTTGAAACGTTGGAACATAGTTAAAAATTTCACGCACCGGCAAAACTGCAAAACTACAGCTTCCTGGCTTTTATGGTTTCTGAGAATTTCCCCGCCAAAATTTTCACGAGGCCGTAGCTGACACAGGAACGTTGAATTTTAGTTTGCAAAGTCGGGCGTGGATAAGGAGTCATCACCCTAAAATTTTAGCTTCGTAGATTTTGCTGTTCCTGAGATAATAATTTACCCGCCAAAATTTTCACGGCACCGTTTCGTGTTACCCGCGGGCAGTGGAAGGCTGAATTTAAATTTTCTGGGTAGCACGTGGGCAGGGGACATGCTCGCAAAATTTCAGCCTCCTAGCCTCCGTGGTCCCAATGGTAATAATTTTACCCGCCCAAACTTTTACGTGGCTGTACGTGCTACCGCGGGTACAGGGAGGCTGGATTTGAAGTTGCGAGGTCGCACCTGGATGGGGAACGTTCCCCTAAATTTTCAGCTTCCTAGCTTTTGTGGTTCCCGAGTTGAAAGTTGC